CGCCTCACTGCACTGAGACTTTGGATTGGCAGTGCAATGAGTGAGAGGAAATAGTGTTACGTCAAAAGAATGAAGGAAAGCGTGCGAGCAGTCGCATGTCCCTTCCAAAGTGTGGTCGGTTGATTGGAGTCGTGAGGGAAGAGATGTAGCGATGAAGGAGGGAGGCGTAGAGCATCTGCGAACTGGCTGTTCGTACTTCGGACTGTTGGACTGGAGAGCCTTCCCAACACTCCTCCTGACGCCGTCTATGCCATTGTCATGTTTGTGTGTGCGTGCGTGTGTGTGTGTTGGAGACATGCAGTTCGCATCGCCTTGCGCTCAACAGTTTTGCCAAACTTGATGCCACTGAAGCTAAGAATGCACTGTAGAATAGCAGCAGCAGCAGCAGCAGCAGGAGAAGGAGGAGGAGAGAAACGATTTGTTGTGTGAGGTGAGGTAGGTGATTGTTTTGCTGCGACTGTCAACCGGTGTCGGTGGCTTCAACTCCTCCCTAGGTGTGAATACTGACACTGTCTACTGTATTCTCACCATTACAGCCAACGACGTGGTCGCCAACTGGTACCAGGAGGCATCTCGATTCAAGTACGGACGCGAGCCCGTCAGCATACAGGGGATTGGTGAGTCCAGATACAGCATCCCCTCACATTGATCCCCGACGTGCGTCACAGTGACATCTCTCCATCCTGCTCACCCAACCCACTCCCACTTGACAGCTCACAAGTTCGCAGTAATTCATGTGGCTGCCAATATTTGTAGCCCCTTCCTCCTTCTTTTTGGTGGTCCTCTCACGAGTCCACCATTTTTTGTTTTTGGTGGTGGTGAGCGGGAGGGAGGAAGTGGGGGGAGGGGACTTATTGGATATTGAGAGTGTGTAGTGAGGAGGCAGGAGGCGGCACAGCAGAAGAGAGCCTGTGGAAGGGAGATGTCAATGTCGAATCCACGCCTGTGGGGTTGCCCTCCTCTGCTACCACGGTGTTTCAACTCATTTTTCACCTCCTGTTCACGAGTCACATTTTCTCACAAACAACTATGATGCACTACAACGTTGTCTTAGCTTCAC